GCTATTATCGAATGGTTTAAAGTCTTTAAAAATTTCTGATAACTCGTCTAACCATAAACACTTGTTAATGATTTGAAATATTATTGTTAAGTAATTTTATGTTTCTATTTTTGTCAATAGATAGGTATAGTTTATTTTTATCGTACATTTAGCTAGACATTATTTTTATTTTCCTTGATTGTGTGACTTCGGTCTATTGTTTATGTAATCAGTTGTTCCGTGATATTTTCCAATTATATTTACTATATATTTACATTTAATAGTCATATATTGATAAAATATATAAAAGAAGTCAAGATATTTTAAATTCGTAAATATAATAAGTATTATAACTCTCTATCTCAATAAATACTACGTGAGTTTTAACATTCTAATACGATTTACAACAAAAAAACAATGCAATTTAACATTTTTATTTTATACACGGAGAAAATAGTATGATATAATTCTTGTGATCGTGGAACATATTAACATATAAGAGAAATCACGATATTTTTATTCAATAATATTATATTTTACAAAGAAGTATTGTAATTATTCAAATATTTTATTGTGTGCACAAATAAAAATATATTATTATTATTAGTAAACAATAAAAATAAATGCACAATATATAATTTATAATAAATATCCTAATGTTTTTCATTATATTACAGTTTTACAATAAATGTTGTAAAAGGGAATTTAATTTTTTATTTATCAAATTTTTTCCGTGTAATGTTTTAATGATCTGAAAGCTTTCGTTCGAGCATTATACAATGTACAAAATGCTTTAATGGACTAAAGCATTATTTCTCCTTAATTTAAAATGAGATTCTATTTATATTGAAAACATAACTTTTCAATTGACTTTTCGTTCCTTTTTCTATATAGAATTGCAAGTATAATATAAATTAAAAATTCTATAATAATAGAATTCTTAATATAAGTCATAATATAAAAAATATTACAACAGACAGTAATCGAAAACAATGTGCATAATTCTCCTGGAAAATTAATCAATTGATTAATCAATGTATAAACAAGAAAAATATCTCTTTAATACACGATTACAATTAATAACATCGGTAAAAATCTCAGAAATAAGGTGCTGAAAGAAAAATTGAAAAACCAACAACCTTTATTTAAACCGAGCAATAAAGAAAAATTAAACATGAAATAACGATTCCTTCTTATCGTTATCCCTCAATCCTTTCGATCGGGAACACTTGTTTTTCTAAAATTCCAAACCGCCTAATAAATAATCAATAATAAAACAAACGACGATAAAGACTCGAACTGTCAAACTGCCGATGACGTTTCGCCGACGCAAAGTCGAGGCCGCCTCTCGGCAATAATAACAAGCGATATATCCCCGTTGAGCGCGGCGCGAAATCGCGCCCGCGTAATGCGCTTTTGCCCTAACGAGATTGACCTGCCACGAACGTATATAAATCGGGGGAGGAGGGTTGTTGGCGATTAATCCGGCGCGGTGTACGGATGACTTTTCGTTTCCGCCGAGCGAAATCCCTCGGACCCGAGGGGTCCAGCTGTCGACGGGGCACCGGCTGCGCGTACAATATCGCCGTGGCTTTCGTGGGGAGATCCAAGATGACGGCTCTCCTCCGTTTGCGCGTTATGCGACCGAGGGGTGGACGACGACGATGGTGGTGGTGTGGCGCGGCGTCAGCTTGCGCCCGGAAGAAACGCGCGGGCTGACCCCATATCCCGCGAACGGCGGTCGACTTGAAGAAAAAAGTCGACCCAACGCGCCGGGGATTTATTGCGAGTAACGAGTAATGTGTTCGAGGAGGTTCTTGGCGAAAACGCGGAGGAGCCGGTTTTCTTCTCGTCTCGTCGCGGCAATCTCTTCGGCACCCAGGAGATTTTTCACGCGCAGGGAAAATAGAATATTTTCGACGTGTATTGAGAATTTTATATTACTCCTATTGGATATTAACAATCTCAGCAAACACCGATATATAATTGTTACATTGCTATAATAAAACGGAATGTGACAGGTAATGTAACATGTAAGTTACATGTAACATCCATGTTAGTTGTAATTTCCCACTCATAGATGTAACATTTTAATATAACATATATTACATTGTAGTTATATTGTAATTATATATCAAATAGCACATTGATGTATTGATAAGTCTTGGGATATAATGACAATATAACTACAATGTAATATATGTAATATTAAAAATGTTACATCTATGAGTGTGGGAAATTACAACTAACATATATGTTACATGTAACATGCTTAAGTATATAACATTTATATACTGTGTTTGCTAGGAATAATATAATTTTGATGCCACGTGTCATTGCTTTTTTCAATCAGCCGGAATACGTCTTTAATAAAATTCAAACTTCTGTTAAACATGGACAGAAAGAGGAAAAATATGTCAATATGTGTCGCAAATGATATAAATATAAATATTGCAAGCATATCACTATATATCATCTTGGCGTGAAGGAAATTAAAAGCAGCGCTAATATGTGATATCTCACATTATTTTATTTTAATTTATATGAATCTCACAGGCTAGATTTTTTACATAAAATATGTTTAGATACACACATACATACATATACACACACGCACACATGCACGCACGCAACGCTGGCGTATACATATGATACATCTGTAATGTCGAGAAAAATATATATTGCGCCTTTATATTCTACATCTTTTATTTTTTTTTTTCTTTCAACACTTTACACGTACAAAGTGCGCGAACGCGTGTCGTTCGCGAGGAAATGTTCAGGGGAAAACGCGGCAAAAATCCTCCCGTCCTGTCCGTCTTTCAAATCGTGATTTATCGAAATAGTCGGAGCGAGAATCCAGCCTAATCCATCACCACGACGACTTTTCTCCCCGGTGGAGAAAATCTTCGGTCATTTCTTCGGACCTGCTGCCGTCCTGATGTTCGCGACACGTGTCGACGTTTCCGAAGCTTTTCCGCGATAAATGCACGAGACACACATCAAAAATGCTCTCCAAAGTCTTGGATTGTAAGAGACAAATAGTACGTGAATTTCAGTAAAAAAATATTAATACACTTGGAACTTGATGGAAATATTTCAATTCCTGATGCAATCAAAACTGCGTTTTCTTAATAACGAAGAAAAATCTTTAGTAAAAAATGCGATGCATAAAATATTTTTTTCACGTATTTTTTTTTCTTATCAAGTTTCTTGTGCTGTTTTTTTATTTATAAAAATCCAATATTTGAGAAATAGAATTGTGCATATTTATCAAAACCGCAAATTTACAGAAAAAAATTATTGCAATGAAACCTTTATTATATATATTTTATTTGAAATTTTTTCTTTAATTAAAATTGAAATTCATCATTTATAAATTCAAGTAATGACATCATGCGTGCGCCACTATTTTACAATTATCACAATTTTGATTTCAGGAAACTTCGAATACGTCAAATAGAGAAGAACATATATATGCATGCATATAGCCAGACTCTCGCTTTTGTATTATTTTTTTATCCTAAAATTCGCGTACCAAGGTAACAACGGACGCGTTCGATTGATCGCGGAGCGAACGGCGACAAATTTACGCGGACGCATTAACGACAGGGCGCCGTTTACAGGTGACAATAGGGGAGGAACTGCAAATGGTAGGAAGTGATTTATAAGAGTACATCCCGAATTTCGATCGTTGCACGTGTGTTAAAGCTCTCGTTTCAGCGGCCAACGCGCGCTCCAACCGGTCCCTCTCTTTTTTCTCTATGCAATTTCGTCTCGCAATTCATGGTCTCCAAAATTAGTGTTTGCATGTCGCCGACGAGAAAATTTATCTCGATGCGTTTCGTATACGAGAGAGGGAAAGAGAGAGATAGACGTAATATGAAAAGAATCTATTTTCAGATCATGCAATAGAACGTGATTGGACGATGGAAAGATGAAAAACTTGAGAAACAACGTTAAATGCATTAAATTGTATGTGAATAATGCATGTAAAACTAAACATTTGCATGATGTAAAATGTAAAGCGTTTCCAAATATATAAGGCAGAATAATCTCACAAAAAATAAGAATTCAACATATAAAGATTAGGTATAAATAATTTATATAAACTCTCTTTTGTCATTTTATTTTTCTGAATCACTTTGTTTTTACCTTTCAAAATTTTTTGCCAAACATTCTGGTAAAAAAATCTTTCGAAAAAAGTCAATATATGATATCATGTTTTTGTACTTTTATTCGAGCTCGAAGGAATTTTTTTTAAATGAAGTCAAATAACTGATATAGAGATGCATGAAAATTTTCATAAACAAGATCAAACAATATCAAAAGAGATAAATATCATTATATAAACTCTTTTTATTATCTTTGTGCACTAAATGAAATGTCCAATTGTATTAGGAAACACTTCATGAAAAAAAAACTTGCATCAGTGCGCATTAAAAAGGTTAATAATTTTTACATTACGACGAATGATAAAAGATCATAAATATATAAAAAAGACATATAAAAATATATATTTCTATGGTTGAAACACACATTAAAATTTTGCAGCATCTATATGCAGATTATAAATTTTTTTTAAATACAAAAACTCAGTCTGATCTCATTTTTCACAACTTATATAATTCTCTAATATTCTGACCTTATACAAAGTTAATGTAAACGTAATGTTTGTTACTAAGTTAATTAATTTATTCACATAACACAGTATATTTCAAATAGATTTTAATAAGTTTTATTTTGCATTCGTTGTATATTCGTTCCATTTATATATTTTTATATATCATGTATGTCTCTTGTCAATTTACACCTATATGTATGCACATACATCTCTTAATGTATACGAATGCGCACTAGTGCAAAATTAACATATTTAATAATGAAGATATAATTGTTACAAGAAAATATTATTTCTTTTTAAAATAAATTCTATTGATAATTATTAATAATATATTAAAATATATTAATAATTATTAAAAATTAATAAATATATTAATAATAATCATCATATATAAATAAATAATAATAAAATTGCTATAAAATGATTATTTATATATATTTTAAAATGAGTTGTCCAATCTCGATATAAGTTCCTTTTGTCATAAACTATAAAAATTGTTTAAAAAATGAATCTTTTTATGTTTATGTTAAAAATGATTTTTTTCTGATACTAATTTTATGATAGCAGAAAGAGCTTGATAAAAGCATAAATATATATATAATAATAAAATAAAATAAAACTACGCTAAAAATAACAATGTTGCTAAAAGGCATAAATGATAAGAAAGAAACAAAAATTCGATACTCACAGCTATAAATATGCAATATCATCCTGATGAGACTGCAATAATTTCATCTACTTCAACTATTATAGACACTGTAAATGTATTACGAAAATATATGAAGTCATGAAAAGTCTTTGTAGTATGATACAGATTTCATGATTCACATCAATCGTGGTATAGGATGAACTGGTAACGTCACATGACATTACAGGATGATGGATTCGTTACTTCGTTACGTTAAAAACCATCACACATTTAAAGCGCGTACTCAACACATAATCCGATAGGTAACGATTACTTATAAAACAAGGTACTCTACGTACTTCAATAGTACATAATAAATAGGAAAGAGTTAAACGGAGCTAGTTTTTGGTAAGGGTTTCAATTTGGAAATCACGTCGCGCCGCTGCTCGTGATACTCTTGGAAGCAGGGCACGATGCACAAATTAATCTGACATTCGGGACAGTGATACTTGGTCTTTCTACGAAGTATTCTCCCGTGATCGTCTATCGTGTTCCAGCAATGATTGCAACCTAAGGCAGGACCCTGACGTAACACCGGACAATGACCTAATCGCTGATCGCCCGTATTTTCGCGAGACTCTCTGCTGCTGCTGCTCGTCTAAAAACAAATATATTAAATTATTATTTACTCAATTTATATAGATTTTGCAATTTAAAATAGATTGCAAATGAAAAGAAATAAGAGAATTAATTAATCTCTATTGCAGTCACTATTGTAAAAGTAGGACAAAAATAAATCTTTCAGATATATTAATTAATATTTTAGTAACACATATGCAAATAAATAGATAAATAATGGTATTTCAAACCACGCACACATTTTAATATTTAATTCTTAGAATACAAACTTGATCTATTATGAATAACTAAACTATAAATAAAACTGTACATACATCCAGGAATGGTTTGTTGGAAACATGGATAGTTTCATGGAAATATTTGTCTCGTCGGAATGAATCTCGAGTATCTACCTGCGGCGATGAGGAAGTCCGCCGCAACTCCGTCGTCTTCACCCTCAATCCAGTACCGCCGCTGCTGCTAGTTCCAAATTCAGAAGGTGTAGTCGGAGTCTCCTCACATCCCTCTTCTTCCGTCTTCAGGATGGGCGCCGGCTCGATCACTATCGAGGGACTCGTGGTCCTGCCAGGTAGTTCCGGATGCGAATGTTGTCGATGTATCCAATAAGTTCCGGACGTGCTCGGTTGCTGACTGGACAGCAACGGATGCGAGTGTTGCTTGGTCAGGTACGACGGCTGGGGTACTGTCAACAGGTTGGACGACGTCGTCGTCACCGTCAGCAGATTCGGCTGATTGGCCAGCATGTGCGGCGGTGGTGATATACGAGACTCTTCGAAGCTCCTCGACGTCTGGGGTAGATTCAGCGTCCCCGTGGCGAGATGAACGGAAGTCGAGACGATGTGAGGCGAGGAGCTCGCCTCATCCGGCGACAAGTGACTCGGCTCCTTCTTCACTCGCGTTTGTCTAATCAGCAGCCGAGTCCTCTTCATCACTGGCTGTGTCTTAGATTGAAGAGCTATAATATTAAATAAATACTTTAGCAAAGAATCTATGTACAGTATAATATCTGTATCATAGCTGTGTTGCCATTAATAAATGTTAAATAATCTTAACTGTTTTTTTATATATATTGTACAACCACAGATTGGTATTTTTTATCAAAAAATAATTATTAGGGAACTTTGTGTTGGGAATATCTTGCTCAAATAGAAATATGTTAGATAACTATATGTACATAAATATACAAAAAAGTAATATTTTTGATAAACAAATATATATATAATTCCAAATAAATGCTATGTACATACATAATAAGAAAAAATATATTACATCATAATTATCCTTTGATCGACATATAAGTATAATCTCTTATTTTTAATTTACATTATTTTTTTAATTATTTACAGATATATTTTTTTCACGGAGAAAAATAAAAAACTAATATTGCAACAAATAAGATTAATTATTAAATTACACATTGTTGAAGAAAAAAGGTTGTGTAACATTGAAACGAATAAACGAAAGTCCCATTCTTGTTGCAAACTGTTAGAATAATTTTTATTTTTTCAGAGTTATTTCTTAATCGTTTATATAAGGGGTATATAAATGCTTAACAGTGCAATTAACGGCTATTTCACTATTTCACTAATTTCTAACTTTAAACCACTCAAGTGTATGTTTCTCGATCGTCTCGTAGAAAGCTGCTCTATTTTTATATCGTCATAACAAAAAATCTTCAGTTTACACAAACGCAAAAATAACAAGTACAATCAAAATATATATACCTTTCGATTATTTTAAGCGTTCGCATTCTTTCTGTATTCAATACATGCATTACTATTCCGCGATTTAGTTATATCAAATATACACAACAAAGAGTACAAATAAATAAAACTAAAAATGAATTATGCAAAGAACATGATTAGAAATATTAGTCTGTATATAGTTCATATGTATATATGTATATATATATATGTATATATATTCCACTTTTTTATATTCTAGTTTTATTTTACACGATTTATGTTAAAAATGTGCTCTCTCATATATATCTATCACATATATTTCACTAGAGAACTAGACTAATAAATCATTATTATAATTAAACATAACAGAAATACAAATATCATAGTAAAATAATGTACATATATTCATCTATTATATTACGCTTTCTAAAGCTGAATCATATTTCACATTAAATTTACATTTCAAAACAATAGAAACTATTTTCGCAAAGTTTAGATTAACTTAATATATGAAATATTTAATACATCAAATAATTGCGTTTGTATGCTTACATTATTCATATATTTCCGTTAACATGATTTTCCAATTATGATCAAAAGCAAATGGGTAAAAATATATGTGGAGATACTTGAGAAAAAAATATATATATAACATTATATATATATTGTATTAAATATTGTATATATATTGTCTTTTATATATATATATATATATATATATATATATATATATAAACTATATATATATAATATACAATATAAATATACAATTAAATATATATGTATATATTATAAAAGTATAAAAATTAAACAAAAGTCAATGTATATGTAAGAGGAAGATATATCTCTAAAAAAAGCGTATATATGACGATTCTCTCTCTCTCTCCAATATTTGTCAACCTAATAATAATTAATTGTAATACATGTATTGATAGATAATCTCCGCGTGTGTGCATAATGTTAGTCTCGTACAACGTACTAACACACGTGTGCAAATACAGATAACATAATTTCCAATCATACGTTTTGTAAAATCTCGTACAATAGTTTCACTATTCCAGCAATTTATTCGAAGCAATGAATGATTCCCAATGATATTAAAATTTTCAACGATAATAATTCTTAAAAAAAATGGTTATGATGAACATTATAGAAAATTAAAAATTATCGACAATTTGTCGTAAATATCAAAAGCAAATGTACACAAATATTTGTCGCCTGTGTAAATTCATTCATCATATATATTTTTATTCAGATTATAAATCGCGTTTCGATAGAAAGATTTTTAAATATATAATAGAAATATACATATATTATACAAAAAGAGAAATATATTTCGCGAAAAAATTTAGTTTAAATAATTAAATATTATGTAAATAATATTGATACTGTATATATTAAAGATCGCGTAGTTTCCTCTTACATTACAGACGATTCGAACAACTTAGATCGGATTCTTTAAAAAATTTGATTGAAAATAAAAGGTATATAGAAAGATAAAAAAATATATTGAAAGAGATACAAAATTAATATTTAGAAAGTTTACAATTCATAAAATTTTCAGTAAGGAAAGAAACAGAGCATTTGAAATAGTCTATAATTAGAACAGAATGTAGGAGCTGTGAATCCTGTACAATATAAAATGTACCTCGATTTTGAAAAATCTGTGAATACGTATAGGCTGTATAGGTGAAAAAAATGTATTCTAAATATTAAAAAGCATTCGACCTCTCTTATCTCGGTGACTTTCCCACACCTCGCAAAACTTTCAACGTGCACTAAAATAGGAGAATCTTAGAACTTATCTGGTAAAATAGATTCAATAGAATATACGGGGAACGTGGTGTAGGGGAAGAAAAGGGGAGCACGCGGAGGGAGGGAGGGAGGAAAGTAATACTTCTCAAGGTCGTCTATACAAGTGACTTTCCGGATAAGATTCGTTTCACATGGCGTTGTAATTGACGCCGTGCAGATTAATCGGCATCGTGGTGCTCGGTAGCGCATACTCCGTATGCCTATCGATGTAACCGCTCAGCATCGTGTGGGGACTGTGGCTCGTCAGCATGGTGTGCGTGCTGTGCGTGTTGTGCGTGCTGTGCGGAGTCGTCGGAGGGCCCATCGGAGTCGGGCTCTGGGACGAGTTCATGGGTTGCGCCGGGGGCGCCTGCGACGGCGGCGGCGGCGGCGACGAGGAGTTGTTCTCCTGTTTAACCGGGATTTGAGACTGGGTCGGTTGTTCGGGTAGCCGCGCTTCTTGTACTCGAGCCAGAGCGTTCGATTGTTCACGCCGAACATCCTTGCCGCCTTGCAAAAGCCTATGCCGCCGTAGCGCACGGCGTCGAGTGCGCGTATAAAAGTTCTCGTCCGCCTGTGGATTAGTCGATCGTTTCCTCTTAATCGCCGTCTGCGGGCTGGCGCACGGGCTCTGGCAGTTACTAGGGCACTGCGCCGATG